GTTTCTACTCCGGTGTGTTAAAGTTGTAGATCCGGGCCTGGCAGCGGATTAATCAATCAACTGAAAAAATAATTTTAATATTTACAAATCCTATGTGTATTCGTATACCGATATTCATGGAGCGTATCACGTTTTGTTCTTGTGTTCGCATTTTTCATCTATCGTATTTCATTACAGCCGACGACGGTCGACGGTGCGTTGCTTTGCAATTTTTCAGCACAAGGGTCGGTTAGAATTTGTTTCAGCTTTAAGCTATAAATTAAGTAACGTCGGACACTCATTCGAAATATATTATGTAATATTGAAAAAAAATGGGCATCACCACGTATTTCATAGGGTTTAACGTTTTCCAAATATAATCGTGGACAGAGTGAGTTTTAGAAGTTATTTAAGATTGTTGAATAACAATTAAATAGAATTAAAGTGAATTAGGTATATACATAATCTATACTACTATATACTTGTGAGTAGGTATAGTTTCTAACTTTATTTGTTTGTATGGGGTAATCTTCAGAAACAGTGATCGTCCATTTCACTAACTGAACTGACAGCCTAATGACAACTACATCACATGCGGGCGACAAAGGCTATAATTTACGCGGGAAAACATATACCAAATAAAAACCAGCAGAAGGATTATTGTATTATATTTGATCAAGTTTGCATTCCCAGTACTATATTAAAATCGAAAATATTCAGAGCACTATCCAGATTGCGAAAGGTTGTATGTTCGAGTCCCATCTCAGAGTACCAGGAGCTGGTGAAATTTTTCATAAAGAATATAAAACTACTATGTTTGATATTAGTAACTTTACAGTGAACACAAAAAAAGGAAATAAATAACGCGTAAATTTGACACTGACATCCAAAACAAGGGGTTCTTAATCCGAATGTTATATCATCATTTGGGAAGAAAATTATTGGAATAATTCTATTTCTAAATTGGTACCATAAAAAATTCACAAGGTTTGTACAAGTTGTGCCAAGCTTAATGAGTTTATAAATCATGGACACAGTTCACAGATATTAAAATATATATTATTATGTAGAAACCTAAAATCGATTACAAAGTAAAAAAAAACCTACTTACCAAATTAAATGTTTAAATATTACTTGTAAAAATGAAAACATGATGGACAAAAATATCTGTAATTGCTCCTTTATTATTAAAAAAAAATACTTGTGGCACCTTAGATAATTAGTTTTTCCTTACAGATGTCCAGTAATTCACATATCAATTATACAATTTAATTTACTGTCGTCCTTTATTAGCACATGTCCTTGTTTACTGAGCATATTGAAATAAATTGTCTCCCTCAATGCCTGTCAAGGGATAATCAGATAGCGATCCGAAGTAAGTATCGTGTGTCTTGATCAATCGTCCTCATCTTTCAAAAGAGGGATCGAAATAATCTTCGGCGGATGGAAAATTACACTCATTTATCTTGGGGATATATTCAACCTTTTACGACATTGGTTTCTTCTGGTTTTATACTTGGACTACAAACTTGTTGGCGCTTTGTATTGTCAGGGGCCACACTAGAGTTTATGTCATATATATTGACAAATATCCAACTCTTTAAATGATGTACTAATATAATATAGTAACATAGTATTTAACTGAGGGGGCTCTCGGTTGATTACTATACTATAAACAAGGGTGGCTATGTTAGGTTTAATTTTCGGATAAATTTATGACCGGCTTCTGCTATTATCTTTTTGTTTTTGTATTGCGACATTCTAACTGTTCTAACCGCATTATATTTTGTGAAGGTTGTATTTAAACAATTCCTAAGTTCTTACACAATAATCAGAGTGGTGCTGTCTATCAAGTCATACAATATAATGCATAGAAGTCCACTTTTTTTAACAAATAATAGGGAAAATGCCGTTCAAATTGCCGAAATAGACGTATAGGTACGAAAACGTACAGACTAAATAAGTAAACATGTTATTCGCACAAAAAATGCCATGTTTAATCATCTGACCTATAATCAAAAGAAAAACATAAATTCAAACTCAAAACATCTAACTCGTCGCTTCATCATTCTAGACGCAGTCACACACAACAGTACGTGAGGTTTACGAAGCTGTCCCTCACTTGATTCTAAATCTCAATACATAGGTCACAAACCAAAATCAACTGTAGAAAATTTACGTATTCTATAGGTACAATACGACACATACAGTAAGACGACACTACTGTCGTCTTACTGTATGTAGTATGCTCAGTGCACAGTGGCAGTGATCTTCTATTACGTCGTGGTACGGTGGTGCGCATCACAGCGATTTAAATAAATTTTAAGGCAGGTCGAATGAGAGTATAATTATTTAAATCGTGTATTAAATCTAACGTATAACGACTATTTTCGACTATACAAACAACGTACGATAGTAGAACAGAACTGCAGAGTTCTTTTCTAATATAAAAATAGTCGAGAATCCGACGACAAAACCAGCACTGTCACTACGTAGAGAGTATATCAAATTAATTTAAGTAGACAGAATACTTAATAAAGTTTTTTTTTAAACTATATGCCATAACAGCGCTCAGATCGACGTAGAATTTAAGGCTGTTCCTTTAATAGAATAGGTATCTGCTTCTATAGGCCAATAGTGCGGTTATGTTTATTCAATAAATTTTCAGCTTATTTAGGTTATTCCATATGTAAAAAACGTCGTGTTTACATTTCAAATAAAAGAGGAAAATGAATTCCTGTTATTGTTGACAATCAAGACGTGCTTGTCGATTTAATGTCGTACGACATATCAATGTAAAGGAAACTATGTACATAGTTTCCTTTTTTTGCAAAAAGAATGCAGTGGTTTAAATTCTTTGATATAATAACAACTCAAACAAGAAAATTTTAAACAGTTGTTGTACAATTGAGAACGGAGCCGAATTTTTTACACGCTGGCTTTATATTTGGGTGGCCCAACACATACCACGAGACTTACAGCCATCCTTGGAATGTGGAGTTCAATGTTAAGCGTTGCGCTGACAGAAAACGCTGTCTCGTCTGAATTAATACCTGTTAATGTTTTGGTACAACTGTACATTCATTTTACACAAGTTTGTCGTACCTTATAATTGATGATTTGTATATTTAAGTGTTGTTTAAAATGCCAGATTTCTGCGATAAACTTAAAAATTTAAGGTTCATAATCAATTTGAGACGCACAGCGTATTACGTGCTATTCGCCTTAGGTTTTACGTCCAAGTATAAAGTTAGCGTCGTCGTTTGTAGCCTTATGTTTATCAAACTTCTTCCAAGAAGAAATAGTTTTATTTAGGTAGAGCAGATGATCTGGTGTCGATCATTTTCTTATGATGATGTAATTTTGGTCATTTTAAGAACCACGAAGAAGTGAACTTAGCACATCACAGCGGTATTGGTTTTGCCATTTACATTTTAAAGACACTTCACGGTAAACTTATATATTTGGCCATGCCAATATTCTTGCTATTTCTTTTGTTTCTCCTACTTTATAGATGACTATCAAATTTGACCAATCATTTGTATTCAAACAGATACCCTTAAGTGATATAGCTCACTAGAATGCTTTCATAACATAAGAAAACCGTATCTCTTGAGCGACGCTGTTGGAACCCGGCCAAGTAAAACTCAATTATCTTTAAGATGTGCGTATATAGGAACACTGCTGGAGTCCTTAACTGGCGGTAAGTTTGTTTTCGCTTCGTGTGTTTTGATTTCACTTTAATACTTGATGAAATTGTCTTAGATTGTCAGCTGGTTCGTACGGTCTCGAAATTTCTTTAAACGCTCTTCTCCGACATTTTTATATTAATATTTTTTCCAAGTTAAATATGCATTATAACGATGTTTGAGGCTTGAATTTAAAATGAGTCTCCAGACATCTAAACTGAGATAAATGAAAAACATTAAAGGTATTTAAAATAAAATTATCTTAAAAAATATTCAGTTACAGCAACATGACTTCATACTTACTATTCTTACTCTATTTATTAACTAACTTAATAACTGAATATTGTATTTTGCATTGGCTTGTACTTTACATTTTCATTATAAAAGATTTTTAAATAATTCATGGATTAAGTTTTTCAAGGCTACGATTGATTTAATTTTATTTATCCTTAATACTCGTACAAACATTGCATAAATATTTGGTCTGATAAGATGTATAAATACTTCGCAAATATCCCGGTGGACATTTTATGCAAAGCTTTCACTGACACAGGTGGGTACACACAGCTTACGACACTTTGGCGATATAATATTTACCTTGTTAACTGTTCCCACGATTTACAATAAAATTTGCATTCAAATCGGCTTGGGAAATTAGATTAAATTGGTCGGCGGTGTGCAATGTAAACTTGTCCCAAAATGAAAATTATTCTGGCACAAAATGACCTCTGTTTGCGCAGCTACCATGTACCTATATTGGAAACGAAATAAATTTCGCCCGTAGGCCACTTCCGCATAAAACGTTTTTCAAAGTGTCGACGTGAATTTATTATAGTTTGTTCAATATTTATGAGTGGTTTAGTGATACTAAAAGTATTTTTGTAGCAAGTGTACGAAAGAACATGGTATTATATCAGCCTTCGCCAAGTGGTTCGTTTATCAAGCAAGAACTCAACAGAACCGAAACTTCTAATCGATTTTTTTAAGTAGTATTTAAATTATATTTATCTTTGAGATAAGTTACAACAGTAAACTCTATCCTCTTTATAACATTTCTGAATTTTTACGTTGACTTTATCAATATATTAAAGGATTTGATTGTATTGTTAAGTAAATAAATAGACGAAAAAAAGCTTTATACACTAATGAAATAATCCATTCAATATATTGAGCTGATAAGTCATTTGTTTTATTATCCGAAATAACCATTCGAATTTTGTTTTTTTTTTTTGTATTTGATAACTCAATTATTTGAAAAGCACACAAATCCAATAAGCAAACATATAAAATTGGGATATTGATGGTAAAATCTAATCCTTATTTTGTTTGCAGGTTCTTCTGGTTCATGAGGCTTCAAAAGGTAGTTTTTCCCGAGTCTTCGATCTGGAGGCTGGAGACGAGGCGGAGCCCGGCACACCCAGAACATCCCCATACGAGAGTCGATTCCCGATCAACGTTGGCATAACGGGATACGTGGCAACCACTGGCGAGGTAAATCTTTTTTGTTCGCTCGAGATAATCTAGGCTACTTTCGCCCTCTTAATACCTATACCATACTAATATTATAGAGAAAAAAATAGATTGTTTGTTTGCTTCGAATAGACTTAGAAACTAATGAACTGATTTTAAAATTCTGTCATCTATGTAAACTATATCATACGCGGGTGACATTGGCTAAAATTTACAAGGACGAAGTCGCAAAGAAAACAACTAAAAACAAAAAAAGTAAAAAGAGTCATTAGAATCAATTTTTTTTTATGTAGGTTTTTGATAAGTTGCTAAAATTATATATCTATTTTAGAAGAGATGATCATCATCTCTTCTAAAATATCTATGTGGATTTACTAACCTGACGAAAAAGACTTAAGTCATAATAATGCAAAAATGACTATGAAATATATCTTTGTAAGCCGTTGGAAGTTAATATGATAATAATTAATGAAAACCATTGCAATTATTGATATTTGTTTAATGTTTGCAACCGGTACCTACTAGTTATTTTACATACGCTTACGAGGTCACGGAATGTTAAAATTGTCTATTTAAATAGGTATGTCCGACGTCTAAATATATAGACAGTTTTTACATTTCGTGGTTCACACTTATGAATGTGGATGGATATGTAAGTAGAGGCAGATCGAAGAAAAGATGGATCGACTGTGTGAAACAGGATATGAATTGGAAAGGTGTAGATGTGGAGCTGACGTCTGACAGAGAAGAATCGGCACAACATGTTTTCTACATGTTGTGCCGACCCCACGTAACATGGGATAAAGGGCAGGAGGATGATGATGGTTCACACTTATGAATAAACAAAAATAAAATTAGTGACAATGTTGCTTTATGTTCCCAGACAGTGAACATTGCTGATGCGTACGCCGATCCTAGGTTTGATCCTTCGGTAGACGAAGGCACGGGGTTCAAACACAACACGATCCTCTGCATGGCAATCAAGAATTCAGAGGGAAGAATCATTGGTGTTATTCAGGTAATGAAAAAATGCTATAAATAGATCTTGAATTTTGCAAAATATTTTGATTGTTTCAAATGGATGACGGTTGAACGTAATATTTTTAATTTAATAAAATTATTAGTTATAATTTAAATAATTTTGATGTTAAAGTTTTGATTTGTGAAATGGTTAGTTGGGCAACATTTTTTTTTTTTGTTATTCCCATGCGGCCCTTATGGCAACGGTTTGATTATCTGTGACGTCATATTGCATCTATGTATGATCGAGATTTTACAGTACATCACTCAACAAAAAAAATCAGACAAAAAGCGATCTACCCTACCCCTATTTTGTGCCGCGAATATTTATCGTCTAGCTACATTTACTAAACCAATTTTCATCGTGCACAATTATTTTCCCTTCGCAAATCTCATTTCTCATAGAATTTACACCGCTCTGCCTATTATTCTTATGATATACAGCATCCAAATCATGAGAAATAGCGTTTCGACGTTTGAGTTATAAAGGTCATTTGTAATCTCACGGAGCGAGTTGAACGTTGGCCTGAGATTTATCGATATCCCCTACGATATATCGATAGACCTCTGGGCTGTTCTTAAAACCATTTTCCTACATCGGAATATGTTGAATTGCCGAGGATTATCCTCTTGAGTCGTGTATGTATCACAGATATTTAAAGTGATGGGCGATACGTTTCAACTTACAATTTGAACGTTACAAGAGTAATGGAGACATTTTTTTATATCAGTGTTGTCAACGGATTTTTTAGCAAAAAAGTAAAAAATAAATAAAATAGTAGATTAGTGGTTTTATGTATAACTTTTCAATGAATAAATACCTTTCTTATTTATTACACAGTAAAAAATTGACATGAAACACATACCAATTATATGTGTTTCAATCTCCACTAACCTTTGGTTAAAAAAATACTATACCAATTGAATAAAACTCTTCATCATCAGTAGCCAGTAATATTCCCACTGCTGGGGCAAGAGTCTTCCCTATGAATAAATACGAATCGAATAGTGAGAATGGGCCATGACCCACCAAAAGTGGCCAGCGCGGATTAGAGGATGTATTAACGACAGCAGATATAGCCTGAACCAAATGTATCTTCACCAAGCACGGAGGAGCTCAGATAATTAATATTGGTCACCCATCCTATGACCGGCCGTACCGAAGTTGCTTAACTTCCACATCGAATATCGAACGCATTTGCCATATTTGAATAGACACATAAATAAATACAAAGACACATAATAGAGCCTTTTGAGATTCAAATTTATGTCATGAAAAACAAATTAAAGAAAGCAGCGGTATTAGAATTACCAACGAATATACACGCTCGAGATAACAAACAAAAATCTAGGTATGTTTCGTCTTTCTAGCCGGTTCATTCCGTCATTCATTTTTAACCCTAATTTAAGTCGTTTGCAAGTAGTAGTAATTTAATATTAAATTTTGATTTCGTATAAAACTTGTGATTTATACATTGCCCGGAAATTGGCAAAGGTGCCGTTAAGGTATTAAAATTATGGCTATTCATAAAACTCAACCAACATACAACTGCGATATTCGTATATTAAATATTCTTTCTACGCTACCGTTGTGATGTTTAAATAATTAAAAAAGGCGCAATGCAGTTGTATGCGACAGTAAGGACAATATAATACTGGAGAGCAAATAAAATCAAAACTGAATATTACGCAGCTTACACAATAGATGATATTAGGCACAACAATATTAACACACGCATTGTACTCTTATATCATAGCAGGCAGGGTTACACATGGATGCTATGGTCAAACATATATATAATATCGACATACCAAAATATATCTTCAATCGTTTAATGAAGATAATCGTAGGTGTGCGGTATTAACAAGTATGTATTACAGTTACAATTTTATAATTTTGCAAGCCGCAGTTTAAATACTAATTAGTCATAAAAGCAGCGCTTATTAGAAAAAAAAAATAAAGCTGTTTCAAACTTGAACTTCAAACAGTAATTAGTCGTTAAAGTAATTAATTATGTTTTGTACACAGCGCCTTAAAATTTTTCCTTCAAAAACTGGCTGTCGGCCAATTTGATTCGTCTAGTGCCGTCAAAGGATTTATAGATTTTGGGATCATAACAAAAAATGTAAACTCAATATTTATTTTCTATTTAATTGTAATGTAAAGGGGAAAGATTTGATTATTTGGTAGAATATAATCCCAAACTATGGGACCTATTTTAATATTTTGTTCACCTACAGGTAACTGCATTGTACGCGGTTGAAATAGTCTATAATTTACCGGGGTGAAGTAGCGAGAAAACTGCTGGTATCGTATAAAAACCAAAGGAGGCAGGAAATCTGCTACTCTACGTTTAAATGCATAGTTTATGTAGCCAGAAATTCAATCAATAGTTGTTAGTCATTTAATGAATTCTATAAAGAAAGTAGATATGCATGGCGTAGGAAACAATCTGTTAGTACATATAGGTCATATTAATAATTTAAAAAGCTAAGGGTTCAGAAAATTATTTTCGTAATGCCTTGTATTTGATTGAATAGTAAAATGTTTATTTTCTTTTACAGCTCTTTAAAATTCTTTTAAAAATATGTTGCGAATATTATAATATTCACTAGTTTACTTAAAATACCGTAGAAAACAAAGAACGGCTTTGTTTTCTGTGTCGAATAAAATGAGTAATTAAAATATCAGCTAGTTTAAAAAATTTGAGGTTTTAATTTTATTTTCGTGAAGTTTTTTGAACGTTGCGCATTGCGACAGTTTTTAAGTCCAACACAAATTGTATAATCTTTCTAGGAATTCATTCACCGAGATCTCTCACTTTCGGTAAATAAAAAGTGATTAATTTGATTATTTATAAAAAAAAATGACATTATCTCCGTGGTCGAATGGGTGATGGTCCATAAGTTGTCTAAATAGAAAATAATTTTTGAGTGTTGAAAAAAAGCACACACCCGTCCTCCTTTTCAATTTTGTAGTCGGTTAAAAATAGCTAGTCAGAGTAAGCGAGATGACATTTCTTGTATGAAATCTGTACAAAATCTACTTAGTATTATTTATCGGCTACAATTTAAACGTATCTGGTCCTTACAATTTATTTTAAGAATCTTTCTTTTAGACAGTCTATTTCTGGCGCAAGAAATCAAATTCAATATAGAACATCGTAACAATAAAGCGTGATGTATACCGAACTAATGTCCATAAAATTAATATTATTTTTTTCACCTACGGAGCGTACGAAATAAAATCAGGTAAATATGTGTAGGCATTAGTTATGCTCTGCAGACCATTAGCTCACAGATTAAAGTTCTTTGGAATGGGAATTCAGAAATACAAAAGTTTACACGTGAATTTAAGAAAATAATTTCTTTTAAATAATCTAGCAGTCTACAGTAAATATACAATTACTGTTAATTTTTAACTTGATCCTAAAATTTGAAGAAGTGAACACTTTATAGATTATATATATTTGCATTTACATTTTAAAAAGTTCATAACCTGAAATCGTCTCTGCAAACACATAAATATTAGTAAACCTGTAAATCAATTAAGACAGCAAATCACCTGCATGCCACTCATTCTTTCCATGATTTACGAAATAATATAGAATATTTCCATTCATAATTCGAAATACTAACTTTAAAAAAAATAAGTAACATTTTGGTACAATAATCAATAATTTGATTACTATTTAATTTTTTTACTGCATATATTTTTTAAGTCTAAGCCACAGAAAGGATCATATTTTTTTTTAAGATTATCATAGCCTCCATATGGACGGAAGAGCTCGATACAATAATGTGAAGGAGTTCTCCAAAGCTTGATGTTTCAGTACGAAGGGCATACCTTACTCAGTATCCAGTGCAGAGGTCAGATACTAGAACATCTAGTGTAGTCCTGTGTTGTAGTATAGCAATAGTTCAAATGTGGGAGAAGCTTCTTTTTAATATAATAGTTATTTAAGATAGGAGTGCGGAAAGTAAGGTTTTACGAATAAGGGCCAAATTGAAAGCACGAGCGTAGCGAGGGTTTTCATTGGCACGAATTCGAAAAACCTTTTACGCTCAAGTTTCTTACAACATTTTTCAATGCTTTTTGCGAGTAAATAAAACAAATATATAGGTTAATAAAACTAAGTATGTATTAAAGATAAAAATTATTTGTTAAAATTAAACGTGATATTTGAACATGTTTTCGTGTCATACTCGAAAAACCTTTTACGCTCAAGTTTCTTACATGATTTTTCAATGCTTTTTGCGAGGAAATAAAACAAATATATAGGTTAATATAACCAAGTATGTATTAAAGGTAAAAATTATTTGTTAAAATTAAACGTGATATTTGAACATGTTTTCGTGTCATACATTTTTATTTGAAAATATTCGTTCTAGGCTTCTTGAAATACTTTTGCCTCGAAAGTTTGACATATTTTGGCCAAAAAAAAAATAAAAAATTACTTTTAAACACGTGTGCAGTAAAGGATTTCAGTACATTTTTATTTAACACGTGTTTAAAAACTCACTTTCGGTGTTTACAATAGATTAAAAAAATAGCGCTTTGTGAGCAACTGCATTGAAAGAAAAATAACTGCTTAGACCGCATAATTGTATACACGGCGGTTCATCACCTCTCAGAAGTTGTTGCGAAAACACAGTGTTTCAGCACTTGTCCTCCGGACTGGGTAAAGATGTAAGTAATTACCTGAGAAAATGATACAGCTTAAGCAGATATTTTTAACCTATAGACGAGAATTTGAATGGAATACAAACTGTAATAGCTTAGAAAAATAGTATACTCACTATTAACAGTTCTTATTTCATTCAAATTCTTGTTTATAATTGTCCAAAATATTTGTTTAATAAATTACTTTTACTCGACTATAGATAGATACGGGTGTTAGTGATGTTATACCCATAGGGGCCGTCTTGATAGACGTACCCTATGGGGACGGCTCTATGATTAATATCAGGTGATGTTTTTTCAATATTTTTAACCCCTCTCCCCTTTCGTGATACATGGTGAGGTTTAAGACTACCTCTCCCCTCCATCCTCCATCCATTTTTTAGTAGATACAATCAATCTTAAATTTTTGACGCCACTTTTCGGTTTAGTAGTCGCGCGTTGACGAAAAATAAATACACGTGATATTTCGTGATATTTGACAAACCCTCTCCACCCCTTTCGAACCTCGCGTGATTAATTGACGGCCCCTTAGTACTTCAACATACTGTAAAATCATGCTTTAGAAAACTTTTGCACATTTTGACACGATCGCTTAGACTAATAGATTAAAGCTCCCGTTGCAAGTGGCTCGCTAGTCAGGTTCAATTATCGGTCACGTTAATATAGAAATTTAACTTTTCTGGAGATTCTGTTTGTCTGGATTCCCATAAAACAAATGTTCACGCCTCCCAACAGGCAAGATTCGCCGGGGCGCATTTGAGGCATTCGTGATACGAGTCATTCAAGAGAGCCGAGATCGTCTAAAAACTGAAAGCTTTTTATTTTGCACCTAATACAAACCGTAAAAAAGAATATTATACTTTGATTCGACTCAGCACGCATCATGTCTTGTTTCATTCGGGCCACGTCTTATCCTTAAAGTGTTTTCTGGCCGTTATTGTACATTTTTCATGTTCAAGAATTCTAGATGGTATAATGCGGTGAGGGGCACTTCGTAACAAAGTTTCTTTAGAAGTCCAGATTTAGAAGTAAGCCTATACATTATGAACGGCACAACTTTCATAATTTACATAAGGCACGAATCGTATTAATTTATAAAGTGCCCATGGCAACATAATAATGTCTACTGTTATGCTATGTTACGCTCAGAGGCCTCGTCGCGCTCAAACTTCTGTTTTTCATTGTTACTTTTTTATTTAATTTGTTATTACAATCCTTGGCTAGGGCTGCTATCTCGATTAAGTTATATTTAAATTTAGAATTATATATCAATTTATAGATTATATATAAAATTTATAAAATCGTTTGCAGTTTTTATATCAAATGAAAGCTTTGGTTTAGCCTTAAATATTTTAGTAGATACTTTTTCGTTATAACAAGGAAAAATGTGTATGTAAAATTCATTAATCTATATCATTGCCGAAATTAACTTGACATTTATCATTGTGAAACGATACGGTCGAGCTGCTAATAATAGCGTTAGGTGCGTTAATTAATTAAAAATAGTTTTTGCCGTGCTATACGTCATCCTCTGTCGCTGTCTATCTCATTGACGTGTGCGTTGATTTCGTCTCGCTTTCTCTCTTTTGTCCCGTTTGCTAACTAAGTTTGTTAAAATTATTATATTTGTTTTAATAATTCAGATTGAAATAATGCATTCTAGAAAGCTTTTCTAGATAATAGTTCAGAATAGGCATTACGGAGCAACTTTCACAGACGGCAGCCCTTGTTGCTAAGAACTTTGCCACTTGTTCGTAACACGGTGCGGGACGCATTATCAGCCTACCAGGGCTCGGCGGGTGCCTCCCCCCCCCTCACAAATTGCTTGACTTTGTTTAACTTCGCTTATTCTTCTTGTCGACATAATAACGCTGTTATTGAATGTGATTTATAAAATATCTCAGGCGGCGGTGATGTAAGATGTAATTAACAGAATCGGTAAATGATTAAGTCCTTATTACTTTGAAGCTTGAGAATTTCTTAATCGACTGAACTTTTTTTTATTATTAAAAGTTAATCGCGACGAAATTAGAAGAAATTTGCAGAGAAATAAGGGAAAGAACAATATTCTCCTCACAAATATGTAGTGATGATATAATTTTGTAAATATTTAAATGTAACATTCAAATGGTTATCATTACCACAATATTATGAATAATAGAATAAACCATGAAAAAATGAAAGAGATAATATTATAAATTTGTCCACTTTTTTGAAGGAGACTTAGTTCTTTTACACGATTTTATTTTACCGTTTTGTTGGTGTGATGAATGAGCATACCGATGCCAAAAGAGAGTTTTCTTACTTTTCCAGAAATGTTTATGTCAAATAAGCCAGTTTGTCAAATTATGTAAATGCATCATGAATCTATTCATAAGTCTGAATAGTCGCTATTTGTTTTATAATATGTGGATAGTTATACCTTTAGTAGTTTCGTAAGGTCACTTAGTATGAGTACATAATTTTTTTTTTATACCTACTATTCATTTGTTTAACTCTCAACTTCTGAAATCTACCAGTGATGGTTTCACAATTATTACTAAAATGTAAAATCATATACTTAGCTATTAAGATTCATCGTGAAACTGTTTGTTAACCCAAATAAACTAAAAAAAAAGGTCATCTGGTATCGTACATAGTTTTGGATTTCTTCGTTATCAACATATTTATAGTTAAATAATTAATCAGTACCACTATATTATATAAATAGAAGGAGCTCGATGACAATAGTAAGCGTGTTTGCGGACGGATGCGGAATTTAACCTTCTCAAAGGTCAGCCATAAGATGAGTAACCGGTTGAGAAGGCACTAGTCCCATTAATCTTTGATGCACTTTCCACGTGGTGGTCTTCTTATTTGATCCCATACATAGGTAAGACCTCTGTTCTAACATTGGGAACATTAATGGACCGATAAAAAAATGATAAACCTGCCTCCTTTTTTAAAGGATATTAATTTTTTTAGTTAAATTTTACTTTTATATATTTGTTCGTATATATTGATAGCGTTAGTATAATATATAAAAAAAGTATTAGTCTAATTCCTATATTGATATTATCTGGGCTATTACATAAAGGTGTTTTATTGAATTACAGTTGGTGAACAAATTCGACGAGTTGCTTTTTACCAAAAACGATGAGAACTTCGTGGAGGCTTTCGCCATATTCTGCGGGATGGGCATCCACAACACGCACATGTACGAGAAGGCGATCACCGCGATGGCGAAGCAGAGCGTCACGTTAGATGTGAGTTTGTCTTTCATCTCTTTTACATCACTCCTACTAATACTATACTTGACAAAGTAAAAAGGGATGTTTGTTACTCTATCACGCAATAACTACAGAACGGATTGTGATGTAATTTGCTATACGAATAATTCTTAGCCTGATTTAACATACAGGCTGCTTTCATTCGGCTACTAAACTGTTCGAGATAAATTAACTGTCAAATCGTCGTTGGCATTTTTTTTATAAACTTAGACTATGATAAATAAAGGAAGATTATAAACTGACATTGTTATATTTGATCAATTTTGTATTCACAATGCTATAGTGATTAAACATTCTTAATAAAAAATGCTTATGAAAACGAGTAGCTCGGTGGCGTAGTGGATAAGCGCCGCGGCCCGCGATCGTAGTCGTTAAGCAACTTTCGCAAGGGTCGGTCACGGGATGGGTGACCAAAAATTATTATCTCGAGCTACTCCGTGCTTCGGAAGGCATGTTAAGCCGTTGGTCCCGGCTGCATTTGCAGTCGTTAATATCCTCCAATCCGCATTGGGCCAGCGTGGAGGGTCATGGCCCATTCTCCTTAACCATCCATAGGGAAGGCCTGAGCCCCTGCAGTGGGGACGTAAAAAGGGCTGGTGGTGATGATGATGAATAAAGAATGCTTAAAAAATCCAGTTTGCCCCTGGCACTCTGAGACGACAGCTACGATTGCTCTAACCACTAACATTGTGTTCAAATTTACTTTGACATGAACGGTTGACTCGACTTCTTGAAAATGAATTTTAAAATTTAATAATATTGAGTACTTACTTACAAAACGCCTACGAAAGAAAATCTAAAATCGTAGAGTATAGAGTTATCGTTAAGTTAAAACGCCGTCGTAAAGCGAGATACGTTTACTTTTTTATTTTCCCTAAATTTTGGATTGAGTTACTGTTTTTAGTCACGGATTCTTAGGATGCAATATATAACAGCGGTGACAGATGACATGCCGAGAGGGAGAGTATGTGAGTTAAAGTGCCGGTGACTCTGATTTGAATCAAATTGGTTTTACTTTAGCGACGCGAACACTAGCGGAATCACTCTGCGCATCATAAGCGGCATCTAATACAGATTACCGAAGTAAATCGCTTTGTGCAGTGGTGGATTATTATTTAAGCAATCTAGGCACGTGTAGACATTATGAAGGGACGAGAAATTTTATAGCAATCTAATTGATTTGTGTCCTATGTCGCTTGATATCGCCCGATCCGATTTCAAAATAAATTGAATTAGGATATTTGTATTCAGCTATGTTGATTTCACTTTCGTCCTCTCGGTATCTTTATTAGTATATAGATAATTATACTTTGTAATACTTTATAATGTAAAAGGTTATAACACTGTCGACCTTTAATCCTCACTGTCTTTGTTTATGATGGAGTATATTCGACTCAGCTCGCTAGCCTAGATCCACTTTAATCTTTGTTAGTAATTGTTATTACGGAAGCTTTTTGTTACAGTTGTAACATTTAATCACTTAATGGGTAATTATGTCGTTACAGGTTTTAAGTTACCACGCTTCGGCATCATTAGACGACGCTCAAAGATTGAGAGTGAGTAAAAATATAAATAAATATGTTAGAGAGATAGATATACATATGAGTAGAATGCATTGACACACATATTGTTTTACCTAATATATGTATTTGAAAAAGGATAGCTGTTTGATTGATCAATAAGCAAACATCGAGTATGTTGATCAATGACGTAACTAGAAAAGGATAGTGAAAAAAGTTACATCGGATACTATGTGACCAAAAAAGATGTAATTCGTAGTAACGAATTTTCCCCTCCTATTGTCAAACAAAAGTCATTTATTCTTGCATGATGTTAATTTAAAACAAATAAAATACATGTTGCTTTTATTAAATAGTCTCACAATATATCATCGGGTCTATATTCAAACTTAAGTATCTACGCAAAACGTACCGATTAGCCTTTACAAGGGTACTAACGTTTCCATAGCGCCGGACACACGACATAAAATACTTTAGTGCCTTCATGAAGATCTAAAGTTTACGACAGTTATAAATAAACCCCTTTGAATTCATGTCGTGTTTCTTCCCCGAAATAATGGCGAAATGGTGGCTTCTCTTTTTTGCCGGTGGTTAGTAAAGATTCTAATAATAATCTATTGAAGACATTTAGTATATTGTTCCCTGAAATTTATTCCCTGATGATCCCACTGTTAATGATAATTTCTCTGTAATTAAAAGCCTTATTTGTATTCTTAGGAAGACTTCTCATTCATCCAACTTCTGATTACCTCATCATAAAATTTTGTTTGAAGATAATGGATACATAATAATATAAATAAAAACAAGTGAAATACTCATTTAAGATTATTATAGGTATTGCTTAGACTTATTAAATTGTTATATTTGTTGCAATTATGACTTGACTGTAAGAAATAAATGAATAAATATTACTGAAGGCTTAACAAACAAAAAAATTTATCGAACCATAGTATATTAATATAAAATTCAAGATTATCAAATTATTAATAATCTCTTGGTCAGTTTCACTTTCGAATTTTTTAGATTAGTTGTGCTGTGTGTTATTCACTCCTGAGTTATTTCTTCCTGGGACAGTATGTGTATCCATGTATCTATTACTAAAAGCAAAGATGCTTTCAAATATTCATTCGATATTATCAGTAATATTGTTAAACAATATTTATAGCATACATTTTATTTTTCATAACATAAGCGTGTTTGTATAGAACAGAACTATTTGGATATATATTGTTTACCTAGCAAAGAAAATTTCATGAGCCTGGATGGACAAATAAGTTTTTTCACTTTGATATTTTCAGAGTCTCAGGATACCGTCATCGGCCCACTTCAGTCTGCACGAGTTGGATTTCGACGACATAGATATGTCCGACGACGAGACGCTCACGGCATGTCTCCGCATGTTCCTAGACCTGGACTTTGTCGAGCGGTTTCACATAGATTACGCCGTGCTGTGCAGGTGGCTGCTCAGCGTGAAGAAGAACTACAGGAATGTAACTTACCACAATTGGAGGCATGCGTTCAACGTCGCCCAAATGATGTTCGCGATATTAACGGTAAGCTTAATATTATATTTATAATAGCGTTTTCGAAAAACTTGCCTTGAATAAAATTGTATCTTATATGGCCAATAAATATTTCAACGGGGCCTAAGTAGATTCAGTCGACATAATTTTTAACATTTTTTAAATAATAATAATAATTCATTTATAATGAGTGAATAAATAATCACACACCGTGGCCCTAAAAAGGTATCCATTCAGCATAGTGCCGAGATTTTATTAAGAAACCTCGACGCTGATCTTCCGTGGACTCCGGATGACGAGAACACACTACTATGCACCATACATCAATATTTATATGAAATACTTTACCCAAACATTTATATAATACGTATATATAATAAGTATTATATTATCCATGCGTAACAGATAATATGATAGAGAATGCAATTTAAATTATAAGTTGTTATAAAATTACACAACACAATACTCAAACCAGCTTCTGTAAATCAAGAACATTTTTTTTAAATGGCACGAAACTGTTTAAAAGGTGGAGGAATGTTATTCCAACACTTCGTGGCAGCGTAACGAAAACTGCCACGAAATGTGGCTGTGATATAAAAGACGTTGTTGCATTGCAGACTACACGATAAGAGAAATTAAGCTTGTCATACAAGTAAAACGGTGACCGTCCCTGAATAACACCAAACAACAAGCGCGCAAAATGAAATGAACGCCTAGTCTCCATGTTCATGAGGTTTCCCCTGTTGAGATAAGGTGTAACATGTCCTCTCCGTAGGACAGAGAAGCAGAAACGGGCACATGCGTTCTGAACACGCTGAATAAGCTTCCTGGTATATCCAAGTAGACTATCCCCGATCACTGTATTTTTATAATTCAACTTAGAGTTAAAAAGATCATATCTCATGTAATCCCGTCTACATCTTCGGCATTAGTCTTAATATCTGTAATCCCTCTCAAGATAGCATCCACATCTACGGAGCTGATAGAAAAGGATGCCGAAATTAATTTTTCATGTTTAAAGTACATTAAGATCTGATAGTGCGACCATCCGTTGTCTTGGCACATTAAGAAAATGTCAGTTTACACGATCTGGGTCATTCATATGTTGGGGTAAAAACTTTGCATTCCCTTAAAATCAACCACATAATTAACTAATATATCTTAAAGATCAAAAACAAAAAGTTTGGATGCGGAAACCTAGGACAAAATAAACGGTGTGGCGTACCACACCGTTACCCTTTAATCCATAAAAATACAGCTTCTAATTCGCGTACAATAATATAAATACTCGGTAATGCAGAAATTGTTCAGCGTGAACGCGGCAAAATTTTCGTTTAAACTGCTGTCCTAGAAATTTTACTTTTTCCAGTTGACTGTATCTACTTAGAGACCGTTGATATAGTTATTTCCTGGTTCATTTTGTAATGTAGAATAAATGAAATAAGTACAGTAGACTATGAAAATTTGTCGTAACAACTCTTAGGGTTGTGCCGTGCCCAAAACGGTGAACCCGCCCTAGGAGAATAAGAACTGTCAGAAAAATGTATTGCAACGACCTTGACACGCCGTAATTATGTTAACGTTAGCAAAGTTGCGACCGTTTTCTCGGAAGTAGTTGTTACTAAGAACAGTTATATAATCAATTGGTAACAATGTTAACGTTTCTGAGAAAATTATAGCGCCTTGAACGCTTGTATATACATCAGTACAATAAAATAATTTTCGCAGAAATTCTCGTTATTGAAGAATATTGTAATGAAATAAGCTTAACAAATCAAAAATATTTAGCGAACTTTATTTTCTTTACAATCGGTTAAAAAATAACAGCTCACTTCATTCTTTTTTTAACCGCATAGTAGTTCAAATAAAAAATTATATTTATTCACATTTTATAGGCATAAAAGTCTTACGCAAAATTACAGGAAACCCAGTGGTGGAAGATATTCGGGGAACTCGAGTGTCTGGCGCTGATCATCGGCTGCCTGTGTCATGACCTTGATCACCGGGGGACCAACAACTCATTTCAAATCAAGTTTGTATTATAAGTTTCAATTTTATAGTAACTAGTATAATATAATTACGACTTATTTGATTTCGGAAATTGCTATTCTTGCGGGATTTCAGATTTGTAATAGATTTCATTTGTATTATAGTTTAAAGAAAGAAAACAAAATGCTATGAATAAATAATATAGATAAACAAAATCAACATTTGGAAGCTCAATTACGTAAGCATAAAAATATAAGCCGCATTGGATCGAAAAAGACAGAAGAGTCTTCAGTCCAATTACATAACATTATTTTAAAAGCAAATAAATTGCAATATTATTATAACTTTCTATTCAAAATATGAGAGCTTTAAATTATGTATTGGAATTTTATCTTCATTACCTCAGGGCATCATCACCTCTGGCGCAGCTTTACTCGACGTCCACCATGGAGCATCACCATTTCGACCAGTGCCTGATGATCCTCAACTCACCGGGCAACCAGATTTTAGCCAACCTCTCCTCCGACGACTACGAGAGAGTTGTCAAAGTGCTTGAAGACGCTATATTGTCGACAGACTTGGCTGTATATTTCAGGTATTTAATTTTTATAAATAAATATAATCTTGCATCGTCGTATAAATTGGTTGTATATGTGGAATGGTAGTGGTAGTGTTGTAGTATTAAAAGTGAATTTTAGCAAACGATTCATTGTTTCTAGGTAAATTTATTTAAATATTATATTACTTATTACTATGTGGATCTTGTTATAACGTAAAAGTAAATAACGTAAATCATTTCTACGCCATAAAACAGATAATGTCGGCATTGCGATTCGTTATTTTTACAAAATTGATCTAGAATATTGTAATTTTAAAAGGTAGACTTTAAATATGGTAATATTAAAATAAAAATAAAAATATCACTGATGCATTGTCCTGGCGATCAGTGTGCCATGTGAAAGGTTATTACAGACACCAGTCTCGAGAAAACTGTAAATGTGTGTAAATCACACACTACTAGTAGTATAAGTACATATTATGTATGTGCCCTTACGTTTTCAAGAGAGAAATAAACTTATTATTATTAAACGTATTATTTGATGTGATATTATTTATTTGTTTAGTGAGGATTTTAAAAACAACGAAAAATAAAACGAGTGTGGTAATCACTGCTGGGGCACAGGTCTTCCATGTATATGGAATCTGAATCTTACCATCGAGCCCCTTATGAAAAATGATTTCATCAGACAGTGACTTCAATTTCCTTTACGATATAAAAACAAATATATACACTAAATTATAATATGATAAAAATAAATTCTGAAAACTGATATTGATAATTTGATATACATTGTGCTTAATAATAATACCTAAAATCATGCACCTTTAATACATCAACGTAAACTACTACAAATACCTAAGGCTTTTTCATAAATCGCTTAAGAATTTTTTTTTTTTTTACATTAGTGTAGAGGTTCTTGTTGATTTGGTTCTTAAGATGATTCTTTTTTTTTAAGTAATATTGTATTGATGTAAATATTCTGCGGTTTCAGCAAACGCAAGCCGTTCATAGATCTAGTGAGTAGGGAGCGGACGGTGACAAGTGCGTGGGGCGCGTGTAACGAGCGGCGCGGATTACTTCGCGCCATGCTGATGACCGCGTGTGACTTAGCCGCCATCACCAAGCCCTGGCCCGTCGAGAGGCGTGTCGCAGCACTAGTGGCCGGCGAGTTCTTCAGACAGGGCGATCTGGAGAGGCAGAACCTGAATCTGACGCCCATAGTGAGTATTATACGTACTGTTTTACAATAAGAGCGATCTAGTCGGTCACATTTTTTATTACTTCGAGCTATGCTGATGACCGCATATGATCTCGCCGCCATCACCACGCCCTAGCCCGCCGGAAGGCGAGTCATAGCACTAGTAGCCGGCGACTCCTAACAGGGCGATCTGGGGAGGCAGAATCTGAATCTGACGCCCATAGTGAGTATTTTCCGTAGAGTTCTTCAGTCAGTTCATAGTGAGAATTCTTTAGATAGACAAATCTAGAGACAACTTGAACCTGACGCCCATAATTAGTGTTGTCCGTAGAGTTATGCACTACGAGCATCCTAGAGAGGCACGTCTTTCATATCAGACCCTAGTGAGTATTCACATGAACTTGATAATTTGCTACGAGCGATGCTGTAAACAGCGTATGATCTCACTGCCATCGCCTAGCTTTGGCATGTGTAGAGGTGGGTTATAGCTCGTAGCCAGCGAATTCTTCGGGCAGTGCGCTTTGAAAGGGCGCAACATGAATCCAACAGTTAGTATTCATACATACACGTTAAGTGCCGAAGACTGCGCGTGATTTTGGCGCTTTCACATAGCCCAAAGTTTTAAAGATACAGGTCGCAGCTCTTGTAACCATAATAATTAAGTCGTATTTTATTTATTTATAAAAGAAAATAAAAAATGCTCACTTGAAATAATTCAATTCTTTCAATTTGGTTTAAAATAGCTTATTTTAACTAAAACGAATAAGTTATTCTGCTTATTCAACCTTTCCATGATGTTTATTTTTTTTTATAAATATCAACTTATGTTTAATGTAATAGAAAGATCAATTTTAATGTATAATATATGAATCTATTTGTTACAGGACATAATGAACAGAGACAAAGAAGACGAACTCCCTGCTATGCAAGTCAAATTCATAGACACAATATGCCTGCCAATTTATGAGGTGAGCGGTTATGATGAGTTATAATGTTCGGCTCGATCAAATACCATTACAGCTAGAACTGAAATTGCCACACAAAATCAACTGAGTCATATAGTGATATCAATTTTTATTTCAGGCATTCGCAGTATTGTCGTCGTCTTTACAACCTATGCTCGACAGAGTGAAGAGTAATCGCTCGCATTGGATCGAATTGGCTAACAACGATAAGAACACCAGCGAGAAAATAGAATACGGCCTGGATAAGAATCACATCCAAGAGAGAACGGACAAATCCAGTATCAGTTCACAAAATGTTGATGATACCGAAAACACTTACGAAGGTGACAGTAGCGGAGCGGTCAGCCTGTCATCGGAAAGCAACTCCAAGTACGATAATCTTGAAAATCCTGTAGTAGGACTCCTCTCTAACAATGTACTCGCTCTGCCAAGAGACCCTAAGTTTTCTCCGATGAACGATTTAAACTAAGCTCCTTAATACCTTAGAACTATTGTGATATAGTGAAACGCGACTTTTACGTCCAAAACCTTATTTCGAAGGCCAATAGAAAGCCGAAACTGGTTTTGTATAGTTAATAATAATAGTATCAGTTAATAAAACAGTATCTTGGAAACTCTCCTACTCGAGTAGTGGTTTTATTGCATTTTAGAAATGAATTTATTTTTAGTTATTATTTAGAAATGCCGTGTTACCTGTTTGTGACGGTGCGCCTTTTATATATTTTATTTCCGAGACTGTACTCCACCCGCCATATTGTTTCATATTGTCTTTGTTCCTATTGGTCTGTTTGAAATCGAGGTAGGTTACGGTGTGAACGATTTGTATATGCGTTACAAAATGATAGTGTGTGATATTCGTATAGTAATTTTATAATTGATTTAGTTTAATTTGAAATTCGTGTTACGCAAGGCGTGCATTCGGTATGTTGTCTGAATTCTCGCACTATTTTTGTACACATTATTTTTTAGCTTTACATTATAAGTACCTACTTGTAAGTTTATAAAGTACGTACTAAACGTTTTTTATTATTACCTCGTCGTGTCTATTCCTACGTATCACATAAAGTCATTCGTGTTGTTAGGTTTTGTGTATCATTTATACGATACGTTATTTACATTACGAGAATTGAATCGTATCAATTTTCGATTGATGAATTAGTTATGGAAGATGATTATAAAATTAGAAAAGTGCAGGGCCTAACTGTCTTGTTCAACTTAGTTTTATTGAAGTGAATGACCAAAAATACCAAAAATTTCGAATAGTTGTTTGTGCTAAATTGTTGATTTTGTCTTGTCGATTATGACTAAAGCGTAAGCATTCAAACTTTCGAGTATTATGATGTATGATAACGAAAGAAATTGACATTAAGTTCATATAGAAACGAAAATATATTGATTAGATCGATTATTGAATGTCCATCGAGCGCCATAAATATGTCGCATATTATGGTATTGCATATCGACAAATATATTATTAAGCGTACATACTTACTCCTAATATTTATGAATAGTAGCTTTTGAAAGGTACAAGTTTCAAGACGACGTATCTTAGTTATTTATTTTGTTTGTAGATTTCTTGCTTTTTGAGATATTGGGCAGGTCTGTGCGAAACTTTCCACCTGAAAAAAGAAAAATTTGGGATTATATATCTTTTTATCTAATTCGCACACGATCGTGTAAATACAATTTTAAATTATTAACGATTTGTAATTATTTGGTAAGTACTTATTATGAGTTCGGGTTCTGAGAAATATTGACTGTCATTTTAATTTTAGTTTCTCACGGAACTTGCGCCTCGCAATAATAATTTTACATTGACAGTTGTGGCAAATTAGATCCATTCCGATTAGAATTAAACAATAATCATGTTTGTGTTGTCCGTTTATTTAAATAGGTAATGAATCTTTTTATTTATCATGTCAATTTTTAAAAGGTCGTTTACTGAGATGATAATTCGAATAAACGAAATAATCTTTGAGAAATAGTTTTGACAAAACTGCAACTATGAATCTATCACTAACTATATTCACTCTTCATACACATTTATTTCTATCTTATAAATTTTTATCTAAGATTAATTGTTCAAAATCATATGTTGCAGTTTGATAAAATCTGTTTTAAAAAGTTCGTTTGCAATTAATTGAACAAGCTAATTGCCTTTTTAGCTTAAATAAATTACTACATAATGACATTTTGAGTAATCTTTTAGTATCTTTTCAGTTTTTTTTTAATTATTTTTTATTCATCGATTTCACAAATTTCTTGAATTACGTACCGTGGTCGTATTTAATATTACTCAAAAAGAAATTATGAAATTTTTATCAATAACAAAATAAACAACTATTTAAAATTTTAAAAATATTTTGACCAATTCTCCATAAAAGCGTACAAGATATAATTATATTCTAATTGGAATAATTCTCTCTATAATCTTTAGATATTTACATGAAAAATATTTGAAATCTCAAATTAATTGTGGTAATAAATTATGTACAACTTTATTCTTAAGATCGCTGTAAGTATTATTAGAAGTAATTAGAGAAATAATTATTGTAATTCACTAAATGACGATTTGTATGGTGTGTGAATAGATATGGAGGTTGTTTTGTTCCAAACAAAAGAATATTTATTTATTAATAAACAAATTTTGAAATAAATTTATTCTTTTATTTCAACCTATTTACGCAATCACTAGGTTACCAGAAAATGACATTACTCTATACGTATTAAGGATCAAAATATGTTCTTAATTGAGTTTAAAAACATCAGGTTATGCAACCTAAACTTAAACCTTAAACCAGGGCCCTCCAACCACGCACTTTAAAAGGGCAGGCTTAAGCGAGGCTGATTACCTGGAAAAACCAGCTGTGGGTTCCCTATTTGAAGGGGAGGGAAGGAAACGGCGAGATGCCCGTCAGGTCCAGACCCACAGGTGTGGCACCCGGGAACCCAAGGGCCAGCCACTCCCCCGGTAGGTATACCTTATCTGGTTTTTAGCCGGAAAATTATGATATCCGCAGCGATAATCTACCAGTTTCAGTGACAGCTTCGGAATGATCGTAAGAGAAAAAAGACGAATACATGTCTTCGCTACCAATTTTAGCTTGGATTCTTTCTCTTAATAACGCAATTGAATTCGACTATAAGAGTAACGGTCAGTTGCACAAATGTCCATTCAGATTTAATGGACGTTTGTGCAACTGGCTGTCTATGAGTTGACGAATCCACATTTGTTTCTTATTTACTAAGGTTGTCAAAAGTTAATTGTCAAGATTAATGTTGTTGGATGTTGAAATTGAGACATGTCTTTCTCACACATTAACACTGGTCGTAAGTGACAAAAAAGAAGAATACGTGTCTTCGCTTACTACTTTAGCGCGGTTTCTATGCTTTAGTTATTATTATAAGTAAAAGGTAAACAACTTAACTTGGTAGCATCATAGTAACATTATTACTTAAACGGTATTGGTATCTGAGACAAAATTATAATTAATGAAGTAAAAATAAAGCGCCACGCTTCGCCATGAATGGGCTGGCTCGACCGGAGTGATACCACGGCCTCACAAAAAACCAACGTGAAGCAACGCTTGCGTTGTGTTTCGTCGTGTGAGTGAGGGTACCCGAGGCCCAACCCCTCCCTATTGCCATCCCTCTACCCAAACCCTTCCCTCCCTATGATCATATTCGTCCCTCAAAGTCCGGCAGCGCGCTTGTAGCCCCTCTGGTGTTGCGTCCACCGTCCGTGAGGTGTCCATGGGCGACGGTAATCAGTTACCATCAGGTGATCCGTCTGCTCGTCTGCCCCCTATCCCATAAAAAAAAACAAAAAACAAAGCAATATTTGTGATAGTTAAACGATGTCTGTGATAAAACATCTTGTGTAATAGCAAGTCACACAGGAGAAAATACCCAAAAATCGATAACCTTTCATCAGTGGCTTATGATTGTTTTAGACATTATCGAAATAAGTAAATTACATAAACTTTTTTATTATATTGTCGAAATCGATAATAAAATTTTAATATATTCAACTACCATAATGATAGGGATTATATTAATAGGGATGGACCCAAGTCTATCTTATTAGATACACATTATGTATGATAATTTATTATCCAGTATTAATATAGGTATATGGTAATGGTTTTTATCTATATTATTTCTATAAAACTTTTGAGATAAAAAGAAAGAAAGAAAACTAGTTTATAGTTGAAACCACATAACAATAATGTGGATAAAAAACTTATTAACATAATTATACAAAGTGGTATATTGTGTACACTATACGATGCCAACACTGGACCCAACTAAGTATAAGCAACAGGGAGGGGCCGCTGCGGTGATATTCTGTTAATTCCAGTCATGATATCGCCGAGTATAAATATTTCAAATAAAGTAAAAAAAATGCTTTAAAACTATGATGAAAAGGTGAGTTAATTAAGCAATAATAAATTTAAAATAAAAGGTTTAGGTAAAGATTACTGATACGATTATGAGATTCTTTCGCCTTAGGAAAGCTACATCCTACACGAGTGATATAGGCTATAAGTTATCTGGGCGAAGTCGAGGAAAATGACAATGAATTTACGGATTAATAGTTATTTAAGATACGAGTGCGGAAAGTAAGGTTTTATGAATAAGGGCCAAATTGAAAACACGAGCGTAGCGAGGGTTTTCATTGGCACGAATTCGAAAAACCTTTTACGCTCAAGTTTCTTACATGATTTTTCAATGCTTTTTGCGAGGAAATAAAACAAATATACAGGTAAATAAAACTAAGTATGTATTAAAGGTCAAAATTATTTGTTAAAATTAAACGTGATATTTGAACATGTTTTTGTGTCATACATTTTCATTTGAAAGTATTCGTTCTAGGCTCCTTGAAATACTTTTACCTCTAAAGTTTGACATATTTTCATCATTTTTTTTTTAATTTCTTTGGTGCTCGGCCAAAAAAAAGTTAAAAAAATACTTTTAAGCGCGTGTGCAGTAAAGGATTTCAGTACATTTTTATTTAACACGTGTTTAAAGACTCACTTTCGGTGTTTACAATGGATTAAAAAAATAGCGCTTTATGAGCAACTGCATTGAAAAATTATATTATACGCTTACGAAACTTTACACACTACAATGATAATGATACAAACTTTTTTGCCACCGATTTCCGTAAACTGAAGCCTTGAAACAAAAATTGTTACATGTTTAAGAAGACCTAATTTGATATGGACAAAACGCAGTCATGACTGTGATCTAAAATCTATCTGAAAATCAATAATCCAAATGAAGCAGCAATTAATTCTAATTTTTGCACTAATTCAGATGCAAATGATACAATCGATAGAAGAATATGTTTATCGATGTACTTTTATAAAACCTCACATTCTTTTTTTATGTGATCGATGATATAATAAACTTTAAAAAATAGAATAAAGATTTTTGGAGATGCGAACAATGTTTTATTGTAACTTAATTATTTTTTTTTGAAAAATTGTATTTTTAAATTGTTTATAATTATTTAAAATAGTAAATCTATGGGTACCCGAAAAGACGAATACATCTCCTCGCTTGCTAATTTAACGTGATTTCTTAACTTTAATAATTATTTTGAGGTTTCTATAAGTATTATTCTTAGGCGTAGCAGGTAGGGGAGACCTAGGTGTGTTGTGACAGAGGTGAGTTGTGACAAGGAGGATTTCTCTCTACGTATTATAGTAAACGAGATGGCATTAACGCTTGTTTTTCGTTCTCGACACGCGCTACACGACTCAGTACCTGTCGACGGTGCATGTGGCACAGTTGCGTAAATATATCGTCAGTGTACAAAAAATTACGAAAAGTAAGTTTTTCTTCAAAATATTATTTGAATATATATCATATCTTAGTGTATGTGCATTGATGTGTTATTTTTTCTTAAGTTATGTAGTTATTTAAGTCTCAATACGTGGCACTGATTTTTTGTATGCGCATCGTGTTTAGAAAATATGAATTATTATTAGGACCAAGACGTCATTTTGAACACCTAGGAGAGTTGTGACAGCCTGTCACAACTCTCCTAATTTACTCCAAATTTCTGCTGGGCTATTTTTACATTTATTTTTTATTAACTTTAGATGTTCGTTGGTGTGTTAGTAGCTACTTAAGGTGTATAATGGCATATCGCATACTTATTTTTTGAGAATACCAAATAACTATACACGAGAGACTGAAAATCTAAGAATGTTAAGAAGCGTGTCTTAAGCGAAGAAAAAAAAAGAAACCTAAAAAAGCAAAGAAGACAAATAAGAAGAATAGAACAAGTGATGAAGAAGATGTAGAAAATAATTGCTTTTATTTGGTTTGCCTTGAAGCCTATGCAGACAGCAGATCGAATGATCAGTGGGTCCAAAGCCTGGAATGCAAAGGCTAGGCACAGTTAGATTGTACTGGGGACGAACTTCATTACGTTTGGCATAAATGTGAAACTGATTAGATTAAGATTTTATACTGATGAGAATATTCTCATAACAAGTAATTATAATATTTTCATTAACTAAATATTGTATCGCTTTGAGATCAATCATATTATTGTAGTATTAATATTAATACTATGTTGTTTTAGTTGGTAGGTATTAAAAGATGATTAATCAAATCAAATCAATCTTTATTGTTGATCGCAGGTTATATAAAGATATTGGATGCAAGGACTGAATAGTTACACCGTGATCTGCCTAAAAAGCATACAATATTTGTAGGTTAGTAATTGTCAACTAATCTAATCAATAACATGTTATGTCAAAAATTCAACTAATTCATTAAGTATTTATACATTTACAAAGTACTGTCAGCTAGATACTCATTTACACTATAATATGTTTTAGCTACTAATAATTTACAAAGTTTTCTTTTAAAAACATTACAATTATCCAGATTACGTATTGTTTTTGGAATTTTATCAAAAATTTTTGGAGCCATACAAATGATACTTTTATTCAACTGAGCTGTCTTAGAGGGTATCGTACACAATTTGTCTCGATGACGCAATCTCGTCTTATTTTCAAATAGTTGTTGATCCTGTTTGACAAAAATACCAACTTCGAATATATAGATTGATGGCAGGGTCATAATATTTAATTTAATAAAATATGCTCCTAACACATATTTTCTGGGCTCTAAAGGCAGTTACAGATTCAGTCGAATATCCCCAAAATATAATGCCGTATCAAACAGAAGAAACTACGTACGCGTAATAAGCTGTAAGGATCGTGCACTGATTCACGATCCTACTAAGTTTGTACAGTGCACAAGAATACTGGGACAACTTTTTGCAAACATGTTCAGTGTGTGTTTTCCAAGTCAAATTTATTATTATAGTACTGATTAAAGTACTGATTTGATAAAAAAAACTTGCTTGATTTATTTATGTCGTATGTAATGGTATTTTTATATCTTATAGCTAAAATACAATGATGTCACAACTTACCTCGGTACCTGTCACAACTTACCTCGGTGGTAGGAGAGTTGTGACAAGGGGAGTGGACTTGAATTTTGTTATTTTTTTCAGAAACTATTATACTTTAATTAATTTTAGTGATGGTTTTGAAAACAGAAGGAATGGCGCTAAACTAATTTACATGAGTCATAACTGTGGAATGTTTCTTAAGCGAGATAGAGCCCCTTATGTAAAAATTGTCACAACTCTCTAGGTCTCCCCTACACTTTACACTTTGGTGGACAGTTCCTATGTTTTTTATGAATAAATAAATCTTACTTACTGTAGTTTCTTACTTACTCTATGACACTTTACTCTTTGTATATGAGTTTTAATTTTTTTCAGATTCGTTTGTAAAGTTTATCTAAAAATTTAAATAATATGCCTTTGATGGATATAGGCAACCCTGCAGTGATCATATTCCTTAAAGAGAATTATGACAAAGAAAATCGTTTACGTTTGAACTGGATCAACAAACATCGCCAAGCTGTCGAGCATGCGGCGACCTTAAACAGAGAACCTACTGGCTACTACGAAACTGATGTGATGGCGCATAATATGAAGGGAGGTATGGCTACCATTACAAGGGACCATGTAGTCGCTGGTTATAACAGAAGAAAAACGCCGATACGCGACGGTACTTCAATACCTGGTATAGCTAAATTAAGAGAAGGCCATTCTATTACCAAAGTTAAGCTCGGTGATCCGAAAGAGGATCCACGACTGATGCGGCCTCCTACAGATTTAAGCTGGGACCCCATTATGAGGCCAATAAACCCAGAATTAAAGGAGGTCATATACAAACCGAAGCCAGATTTTGGAAGGGTCGAGTATTTAAAGAGGCGTACGAAAACGCGCCCAGAGAGTAAATATTATTTCTCGGAATGCAGTAACTGGGATTACGGTTGGCGAATGGGCGATTCTGCGCTACGTCAGAGGCCGATGTATGGAAGATCTTTTCACCTTACTAGAACTTTAAGGACTCGTGTTGGTCCGCAGCCTGATCCATCGTATTATAAGTCTTCGGATTTACCGGGACCTTCCAAATGTCTCCCAATTTAATTGTACCATGTTTTGAATATGTTTTAGCTTTATAGAATTTACTTTTAGTGTTGTTTTAGTTTTTCTAGGTTTACTTTTGCCTTAATAAGGCTTTTATTAATTAAGGCTTTATATTTTGTGGTTTTTATTTTAAAATACAAAACATTATATAACAATCTGTTTATTTTTTAAACCGACTTCAAAAAGTAATGTATTCAAAGGATAGGAATACGGTGATAGAAATAATAAGTCACGATCTGTAACGATAAGAGAAATCATCGTTTACGAATCGAAGAAAATCTGTACTAATAATAAAGCTGAATAGTTTGTTTGTTTAGTTGAACTCTCTAATCTCAAACATTACTGGTTCGAACTGGTTTTTTTTATGTTGCATAGTCCATTTATCGAGAAATGCTATGAGCTACATAATATCACGCAATTACTGTTGTTGCTGTTGCAAAAACGGAAAATATTTTACTTTTGAGAGCTTTCTTTGCGTGCGCTACGTAAACGGTGAAAGTTACGCAAATATCATGTATTACGAAATTGTTCCCTTTTAAAAATTATAAAAATAGTCCTTGACAGCATAAGTCTATCTGATATCTTATGCCGAAAAATAGCATATGAAGGGATGAAAATGGGAATTGAAGTTTGTGTAAAGGTCATTAAAACCATAGTAACGATTGTGTGTGCTTTATTTAAAATTCAATTTATCATTCTAATTAGATATATTTCATGTCATCTTATTCCAAATGCATTAGTTAAGCTGTTTACGCAGGATTAAATAATTTTTTGATAAATTCAAGTCGGTATAATCGTTGTCGCTTATATTAAATGCAATTTTATGTTGGTTTATTATATCAAAATTTTTCACTAGATGACGCTAGATGACGAACACAACAGTCTTTATTATCCTTCCGATATTTATTTAACAGAGTCCTTTTCAATTTGTGGTTTTTTTTTATAATAATATAATTTAAATTATGTTTACCAAAAAGGTGTAAAATACTTGAAATGAGCTGCCAATGGTATGAAACAGTTTTATCTAAACTAACAATTAAAATTCATAGTATCATAGTTAAATACTAAGTACACGAAAAAATACTGAGTGCACGAAACTAGATTCGTTCGATACTTACAAATTGAAAAGATGGCAGAATATCTATATTTTATATCTAATTAAATATAATCCTATATTTAACTAGCTGTAACGCGTTAGTTATTGTAACAAGTATCGCCAAAGAGAATTTAAATTTTACGTCATAAAGAAACTTCTCATTACATACACGTCTAGTTTCTCTATTTTCCAACATAGAGGAAAATTTTATATTACGGTTTGCTGAGCTTCGAAAACGTTTTGATTATGACAAGTATATCATTTTGATTTTTTAACAAGAATAATCGTTTGTGAAGAAACAAGAAGCAAAATGCCTTTGCTAGATATAACTAATCCTGCAGTAATCATATTCCTCAAAGAGAATTATGAGAAAGAAAACCGTTTACGATTGAACTGGATTACCAAACATCGTGAAGCAATCCAGCATGCAGCGACCTTGAACAGAGAACCTACCGGTTACTATGAAAAAGATGTGATTGCGCATAACATGAAAGAAGGCATGGCCACCATAACTAGGGACCATATAGTCGCTGGTTATAATAGAAGAAAAGTACCGATACGCGACGGTACTTCAATTCCTGGTATAGCTAAATTACGAGAAGGTAATTCTATTGCTGATATTAAACTCGGTGATCCGAAAGAGGATCCAAGACTAGTTAGGCCTCCTACAGATTTAAGAAGAGACCCTATTATGAGGCCAATAAACCCAGAATTAAAAGAAGTGGTATACAAATCAAAACCAGAATTTGGAAGGGTGGAGTACTTAAAGAGGCGTTCAAAAATATTGCCAGAGAACAGATATTATTTCTCAGAATGTAGTAACTGGGATTACGGTTGGCGAACGGGCGATTCTGTACTACGCCAGAAGCCGATGCACGGGAGATGTTGGCATCTTACCAGAACTTTGAGGACTCGTGTTGGTCCGCAACCTGACCCATCGCATTATAAGTCTTCAGATTTTCCGGGGCCTTCTAAATGTGTTGCGATATAATATAAATAATTTTAATGTAATATTCAATATTACGCTTTGAGGATGTTTTTAGACGTATTATGATGAGATATGTGATTTACTTTTAATGTTATTTTAGCTTTATCAAAGTCTACATAAGTTTTGTTAAAAGTAGTAGTTTTAAATCTTAAAATACAAAAACTATTTAAAATATAACTGTTTTTCTTAAACACGACTTGCTCAGGATTTCATGTATGTTTTCTCCCGTTTTTATGTGGAGTTTAAGGACATTAAAAAGTGTTTTTACTATTGCCACCAAAAAAGCTCAGCTCTGTGACGTCAACGACTATACTAATTAGTATCGTGGGTTAGCAAGTTATTATTATTACAAGTTTCACTTTAACTGAAAACTAAACCATTTATTAAATAAATACAGTTTATTATTTAAACTGTATTTATATACCATATTTAGCAACATGCCATGACCTACGTATTGGTTATTGACCGTGATTGTCCATTTGTTCAAATCCCACAAAAGTAATTAGCTCATTACTTGTGGTTTCTGTGGTTTTACCACGAGGCGTGCTCGCTATTATTATTATTACATTAACACATACTAATTGTGCATATTTTATAGTAATAGGTTACAATAATCGATATTATTAGACACGTTACTTAACGGACTGCTCGGAAAATTTAATAATTTATCATCATTCGAGCAGTCCGTATCACAGCATTGTATCATAAACAACAGTGAGGTATGAAAGGAGGTCCAAGAGTATGGTATACGAAATAGAAGAAGAATGACTTTTTTTTTTAAACACGGATCACCTGATGGTAAGTGATTACCGTCGCCCATGGACACCTGCAACACCAGAGGGGCTACAAGCGCGCTGCCGGTCTTGGAGGGAAGGGTTGAGGGGTAGAGGAAAGGGAGGGGTTGGGCCTCCGGTACCCTCACTCACACGACGAAACACAACGCAAGCGTTGCTTCACGTCGGTTTTCTGTGAGGCCGTGGTATCACTCCGGTCGAGCCGGCCCATTCATGCTGAAGCAGGATGGATGGATGAATTATCTCTCCATTTAACTTGTTTTTAAAATTTGGAAACAGAATATATCTTTAGATAACATATCTGGGCTGTAGGGTGGATTTTGCAAGAGTCTACATTAGACTTATTATCGCGTTGTTTTTCCTTAATGGCTTCCTTTGGTTTTATAGTATCGTTTCTTAATTATATCCGGTTATGGTGATTCCTTTCACTTTGTTAGTTAACTATCAGCACCAGCCTATTAATGTCCCCACTGCTGTCGCTCAGGTATTCCCTGTGGATGGTATCAAATTAATTAGAAAAAGGAGAATGGGCCATGATCCCCCACGCGATCCCAGTATGAATTAGTGGGTGTTATCAACTGTAGATACAGCCAAAAACAACGGCTTAAAGTGCTATCAAAAGCATGGAGGAACTCGAGATAATTAATTTTTGACCGCCCATCCGATAACCGTTAATTGCAATGTTGCTTTACGAGTACAACAACAACATATCGCAGACCGGCGCGCCCAAGAAACAGTTGCTGTTCACTCTCTAGGCGATTGTAACTAGGTTCTTCTGATATGGTGTGCCCTTTTTGTTTAGAAAAAAAAAACTTAAAATCTTGGCTGAACCTTCATCGGCTGCTGCCAGAATGTTGTACAGAATGGTTGACTCAGGTTTTAAATGTAGAATAAGCCTATAATAATGTCGCTCACTGAATAGTGCAGTGGCACAACTCAAAAACCATATTTCGAGAAACGCTCCCCGAAGTTATGAAAATTTAATATATTTATAATTATGAAAATCAATTTTTTAAGCATAACAGTTAAATCGTTTGTATTATATTATTACTGTTAAGTTTTTTATTTTTACTTTTAATTATCTATGGGATGCCACCACAATGTTGTGGCGTTTTGTCGAAATAATGGTTTTTGAGTTGTGCCACTGTACAATTCAGTAGCGATGTGTTGTATCGTCGGGGGTGGCATTTCCGCAAGGAAAAACCCTCTTAAAATTAAAGAATAAAAAAATAAATAAAATTTCCGTAAATACTATAAAAATTGAAAAAAGTTTTCAAATCACGTGAGCATTCATTTTACACCAACTTTTGTATGGCAACATGAGAACCTTTCTGATGGTCTCTTTGTTTGTTTGTATATTTGTATTATCTTCTGAAATACTGATACGATCATGAAAATTTCACCTTTATCATACGCGGGCGACGTCGCGGGAATAATATATTTACCTACGAGGGCACTGTCCCCCGTAGACAGTTTTCATTTCATTTTAATATAAACTTTTAACGTAAACTAGGTTTAAACTATTCTTTCCGTATATCTTTGTCTTCCGGATTGAAATGTTAACCGACATCAAAATCAAAAAGGAGGAGTATCTATCACTATGTGTGCTATTTTGTTGTGTTCACCTATTGCGCGAAAGGAATATGTAATTCTCTTAATTTTTTATTTTAGCATTTTGTTAAAGTAAACATATACTTTTTATATAGGTAATTATAAAAAAATAAAAATAAATAAAAACCGACTCCAAAAAAGTTAAACATAATTACCCATTTAAAGACCATTAAAAGAAAATGGTGGAATTAAGTGCATCCTCAAAATCATATCCAGTTTAGCTTCGATAGTCAAAATATAATTGTTTATTTTAAGCCAAAATAATCCACTGTTGATAAAACAAGACGATATTAAATATGATAAGGCTATTATTTCCATTGCGCGAATTGTAAATAACAAAACAAACTCGCCACGTGATCAGACCGCAATGTGCGACAAACAATGGCTATTTTTATAACATCCCTTAACGGAATACACACACATTCCCGCCAACGATTTCATCAATAACACTGCGCATGTTTTTTTGACTGACACCGTCTCGTTCGTACATAAGACAGAAAAGGGGGAGCTAAAATAACCTCAAATCCCACGCACATGCGCAAAATAAACTTTATGAGTAAAGTAACCCCACGTTTAAGTCAGTGCGTGTGAATGAATAGTGAAAATCGAATTCAATGCAGTGGTTACAGATATCTAAAATTAAAACTTGATTAGAAATAAAAATGAACGGTTCTAGTCTAAATTATCAATAGGTATACTCAACTATTACATAGGTACCTAGTCTATATTTAGAATAAGTGATAGTAAATGTTCATACTTTTATACTTATCGTCATAATTAATAAGAATTAAAATTATAATGGTGAGGTGATACTTTTATCTTCTGCTCACAAATTAGAAAAAAAGTAAGTATATAAGTAAAACATTACATATTTTTCTATAGTCATTAAATATTTTTTTGGGAAAGTATGAATTAATATTTCAGAAACTATTTACGTATTATCTGAAAAATCAATATTATAAATCTCAAAACAATATTTTATAATATTTAAATAGGTCAAAGTATAAGCATAACAATATTGTCTCACACTACAAATACTCAATATAAGCTATATGTTATTTCTCTGAACTGTAAAATATTTCGAAGACGTCCGCTACAAAATAAAGTTTCTTTATTGCCATCCTTGACATTGTTTTAATGTATCTGGTATAATTTCTACATAGTCATAGCTGTTTATAATGTTTTTTATAAATTTTCATATGTTTAAATTCTATTTTTATTTTGATATACAAATTTCAAGATTATGTACCTTGCCAGAGATCTTATGAAATAAATTGACCACTTGAACTCCATGCTTCGGAAAGTACGTTAAGCCGTTGGTCTCAGTTGCATCTGAAGTCGTTGCATTAGGCATGCATGTTGGATTTTAGTATTCTCTCTATTTGATTCGATTTGAATCCATCCATAGGCCTGTGCCTTTACTGACGATGACGGCAGGAAATTGCTATAAAACATAACTAAAGTATTAAAGTGTTTAAAAGTAATAACATAAGAAAGGAAAATATCGGATTATTTTTATTAACACACACATATTTGACGACAACTACGCCGGTTATAAGATATCGCTCTCTCTGACATCACGAATTTGGTTTCCAGTCTCTTTAATGTGGTTTCATTTTTCAGTAGTCTCATATATTTTGGTTACAAATGAAATAAAGTTATTACTAAAAAAACTTTACAATTTTATAACACTTGTTATCATATCCCAGTCAGGCAACATCAACAAAAGGGTTAACATCTGAATGCGATAATTATTTTTGCGTTCGCCGTTGTTTCAAAGGTTGAATCCTGCTTTTCAGACTAAGCGGCTTATTTGTCATTTGTGTGCAAATTTGTCATATGGCTCTTAATTTGAAAACGCAAATCCCCATGGATGTTAATGTTGTATACAATATGTTACCAACCACAAAGTTTCAGAGTTGTGTTTAATCGGAATGCGGTCCGAGTAAAAAATCTCATAAATATGTTCAGAGTCGTAAATTATTCAAGGTTAAAAGTCAATTGATTTTAATCACATTCATTCGTTTTGTACATAATATACATATTATTAAAACACTTAAAAGTATAAAATAATATTATATATTTTAATATTGAAGTCAATGATTGAAGTTGGGTCAGCTTTTGTGTAGCTTATTAACAAATGATCTAATGAGATCCGATGGTCATGGTCAAACGGTTATACAGTTTGGTGAATAATTATACTACCAAAAAATGTATAAAGCAAAAAAAAATTGGATATTAATAATTATATTCAGGTGGACACGGAACATGTACATTTTTTAATACTTAGCGTGAAAATATAAGAAATCAATTCGTATTTTTCAAATGTTAAATAATGGGATTATGATTGATTTATAAATTTACAATTAGGTCCCGGGTTCTTACATCAAGTTTCTTATTAAGCATGTTCTTTAAATTTAGAATACATTTCCATGATCCAGGCTACAGACTATAAAGAGCGTCTAGGTAAAATTTTCATAGGCAAAAAACTTATTTGACAGATTACTCTTTGAACACAGAGAAAAGAATTTTGATCATAGACACTAAATCTATGGAAAAGAAAAATAATAAAGATTAAATTGTCATTGTTATTGGAGC